TCTAAATGAAATTTAATAGGTTTTTTTTTTTGAGCAGTTCTATGTTTACAGAAAAATTGGGCAGAAAATACAGAGTTCCCACATCACACACACACACACACACACACACACACACACACATTTCCTCCTATTATTATCTTGTATTAGTGTGGTATATTTGTTACCATTGATAAACCAATATTGATACATTAGTATTAACTAAAGTCCATAGTTTACATTAAGGTTCACTCTGTTTTGTACAGTTCTGTAGGTTTTGACAAATGCATAATGTCATGTATCCAACATTATAGGATCATACAGAATAGTTTCACTGCCCTAAAAATGCCCTGTGTTCTCCGTTGTTCATCCCTACTCTCCCCCAATCCCTGGCAACCACCGATCTCTCTCTTTTTTTTGTTTTTTTTTACCCACTGATCTTTTTATTATCTCTATAATTCTACCTCCTAAAAGAAATTCTTACTGTCATTTAAAACCTCAATCTCTGGAGTAGATCCAAATGTGGGAAAAGAAAAAGCAGGCTGCAGAAAATATGTATTCTATTTATAAATTTTTTAAACCATGTATATATACATATTTGATTATACATAGAAAATTTCTGGAAGGATACATAGAAAAATGACTACCTCTATGTAAAGGATAACGGGAGGGGTGTTGATGTCTTTTACTTTCTACTTCTATTTTGTTTGAATGTCTTACCATGTACAAATATTCTTTTGTAATTTAAAATATTTTAAATGTCATGTTTTTCAAACATGAAAGCCCTAGGAACCACAAGGGAAAAAATCTAGAGATTTTAGCTACATAAAAATATTCTGTACCTCAAAAGCATCATAAGATCTGATCAACCCTGCTATTTATCCATCTATGATCTTTTTTAAATTTTATTTTATCTGTGATATTCTTTAAGCCCCTATTTCCATACCTAATATTCTCCCATGGCTTTTTAATTATTTCTTGTTCCTTTTTTATATATTACTAACTTCCCACTCAGCATCCTCTTGATTCGTATTTTAGGCTTAGTTTCATTTTAAAATCGTGACCCTTTTCAGCAATCCCAATCGGCTTTATCCTACTTTATTTTTGTAGCAAATATTACTTTCTAAAATGGCTTATTCCTTAGTTAGATAAGTTGTTTGATGTGCCATTTCCTACCACTAGAAAATAAAATACATAAGAATAAAGATTTTTGTCTGTCTTGCTCACTGATGAATCCTCAGTGCCTGACACTAGTAGGTGCTCAGTAAAATTTTGTTGGATGATAATTGAATTGTTTTTTTAAATTCTTAAAACTTTTTTTTAAAGATTTTATTTATTTATTTAACAGAGAGAAACAGCGAGAGAGGGAACACAAGCAGGGGGAGTGGGAGAGGGAGAAGCAGGCGTCCCGCGGAGCAGGGAGCCCGATGCGGGGCTCGACCCCAGGACCCTGGGATCATGACCTGAGCCGAAGGCAGACGCTTAACGACTGAGCCACCCAGGCGCCCCTCTTAAAACATTTTTTAAATTAAATATATGCCTATAATTCTGCCTCAGTTGGTATATGTTACGTAATTTGTTGTGTTACATAGTGATCATACTCCTCAGGTGTGTAGATATTTGGTTCACAAGCTTATGTTCTCTACTACACTTTTTTTTTTAAAGATTTCATTTATTTGAGAGAGCACCCTAGAGAGCACGAGCAAGGGTCAGTGGGGAGGGAGAAGCAGGGAGCCTGATGTGGGGCTCCATCCCAGGACTCTGAGATCATGACCTGAGCTGAAAGCAGACGCTTAACTGACTGAGCCACCCAGGTGCCCCTCTACTACTACCCTTTCTGATCACAGATATGGAGGAAGAGAAAAAGGGCAGACCCTAGTTTTTATCCCTTCCCACAAGTTTAAAGATTAGAGAGCAGAGAGCTCTATCTCTGTTGCCTAGGAGAAGGCCCTTATAATCAACCAAAACCCTAAAGGTTTGGGGGAAGAATAGGGGAGTGAATGTCTCAGTAATCTAGAGTATCTGACGGGCCCCACACTCTTTTTCATCAGCAACTCCCTTCAACAGACCCTTTGTATTATTCTATACTGGGAAGCTCTTGCTAATGCTATCTGGAACGATCAGTTGTCTGGCACTGACTGTCTCAAAGCAGTGGAGGCAAGTGCCAGGAACAAAATGTAAAAACTTACTCCTAACCCTTATTAGGGTTTTCTCAGTTTTTTATCTTATTCTTCAAGCCCTTGCTTCCTTATTTCTATAGTTACCCAGGATTGATTTGGAGGGAAAAAGCCCACAGCCCTTACTAATGCTCCATTTTCTCAGGAATCATACATAAGAAACCAACTTTAAATGTAAAGACACAGGTTAACAGTAAAAGAATGAAGAAATACCTGCCTAGCTAATACTAATCAAAAGAAAGCTATATAGTTGCTATCTTCAGGCAAAACAGACTTCGGAACAAGGAAAATTATCAGGGATAGAGAGGAGCATTACATAATGATAAAGGTGTCAATTCTCTAAAAAGATACAACCTTTAATGGTACATCTAACAACAGAACATTAAAAAAAGCTAAGGTAAAAATGGATAGAACTACAAAGAGAAATAGACAAATCCACTATTATGGTTGGAGATTTCAACAACCTTCTTTCAGTAATTGAGTGATCTAGCAGGCAGAAAATCAGTGAGGATATAGTTGAACTTTGTATTACCATCAGTCAACTGGATCTAATTGACATTTATAGAATACTTCACCCCAAAACAGCAGAATACACATTCTTCTCAAAAAAGATAGACATTTGTCCATATATAAAAAATAGCCTGCATAAAAAAGTTATAATTAAGGTTAATAGATATGCAATAAATTTAGAAAAATACTCATATGGAGGTTTAACATCTATAATATACAAAGTGCTCTTAGAAATTCACATTAAGGGAACATGTAATTCAACAGAAAAATGGATGGGCAAAGAATATGAACTCAGCAAAGAATAAATCCAAATGTGAAAAGATGCTCAGAATCAGGAGAAATCAGGGACATGCAAATTTAAATAATACTTAGATGCCAATTAGGCCTAACAGACTTACAAACCATTTCTTACTTTAACATTTATTAAATGCTTATTATGTGACCAGCACTGAGCTACACACACATCTAATATAAGTGCTCACAAAGTACTGTGAAGTGTATCTTAGCCCTGTTTTACAGTTGAAGAAAGAATCAGGCAGGTAAATTGACTTGGCAAAAATCACATAAAGGAAACTAGGGAATTCACTTTATGGCAAATACTTTTTGAGTAGGTAATTCATTCAGATGGTGGGGGGGGAGTGTGTATCTAGATAGATCTAGATTTATGTTTTGAGTTGAAGTTTCCCACATGTATATTCCATCCACCATTTCCCATGCAAATGCCATCGATCCCACTACTTTTACAATTTTCTCATTTATCTTCCTAGAGCTTCTTTTTCTTTCTCTCTTTTCCCCTTCTGCAGTCTCGCTGTTCCTGTCATAGTGTTCTTTTTTTTTAATTGGGTTATAACTGATAAAATCTTATATTAGTTTCATGTGTAAAGCATAATGATTTGATATTTGTATATACAGCAAAATGATCACAAGTCTAATTACCATACATAGTTACAGAATATTTTTTCTTGTGATGAGAACTTTTAAGTTTTCTAAGATTTACTCCCTTTAGCAACTTTCAGATATGCAATACAGTATTATTGTATATCCATCAATGTATCAGTAATCTAGAGTATCTGACGGGCCCCACACTCTTTTTCATCAGCAACTCTGTTGCTGTACATTCCATCCCCATGACTTGTTTATTTTGTAACTTAAAGTTTGTACCTTTTGACCCCCTTCACTCATTTTGCCCACCCTACCTCTGGCAATCACCAGTCTGTTCTCTTATCTCTGAGCTTGGCTGGTTGGTTGGTTGTTTTTACATTCCACATATAAGTGAGATCATGTGGTATTTGTCTTTATCAATCTTACTTAGTTCATGTAACATAATGCCCTTGAGGTCCATCTATGTTGCAGATAGTGAGATTTCATTCTTTTTCATGGCTGAACGATACTTCATTGTATATGTATACTACATCTCCTTTTTTTCCCTCTAAAATTCAATCATGTATTTTTCTTTCTTTTTTTTTTTTTTTTTTTTTACTATTTTTGAGGATAGTTGACATCCACAATGTTACATGAATTTCAGGTGTACAACATAATTATTTGACAAGTTTGTACATTATGCTATGCTCACTACAAGTGTAGCTACCATCTGTCACCATACAGTGCTTTTACAATATCATTGACTATATTCCTTATGCTGCTTTGGCTTTTATTTCCATGATGTATTCATTCCATATATACTAATTTCCCTTATCCATTCACCTTTCAATGTGCACTTAGGTTGTTTCCATATCTTGGCTATTGTAAATAATGCTGCAGTGAACATGGGGGTGCATATATTTTTTGGAGCATTTTCATTTTCTTTGAATAAATACCCAGAAGTGTAATTGCTAGGTCATATGATAGTTCTATTTTTAAGTTTTTGAGGAACTTCCATACTGTTTGCCATAGTGGTTGTATCTATTTATATTCCCACCAACAGTGCATAAAGGTTACCTTTTCTCTGCATTCACACCAGCATTTATTTCTTGTGTAATTTGGATGATACTGCCAAATTTCCCTCCATAGGTGTTGTATAAAGAACAGTTGAAAAATGTATATAGCATTGTCGTTAGAGTATGTGACCAAACCTTTGGATTTGAGACTGAAAAGTGAAAATGTTTAATCTTAGTATAGTCTTATTATGCATTCCTCCTGTTATGAGTGAGGTGAAACATCTTCTCAGACTGGGCAAAATTTTATTTTTTATTTTTTTTTAAAGATTTTATTTATTTATTTGAGAGAGAGAGAAAGAGAGAGAGCACGAGAGGGAAGAGGGTCAGAGGGAGAAGCAGACTCCATGCTGAGCAGGGAGCCCGATGCGGGACTCGATCCCGGGACTCCGGGATCATGACCTGAGCCGAAGGCAGTCGCTTAACCAACTGAGCCACCCAGGCGCCCATGGGCAAAATTTTAAATGACCTCTTGCTAGTGAGGATTCAGGTGAAAGGTATTGTTTTACATTGCTGGTAGAAAGGTGAACTTTTTCAACCTATTTGCAAAGCAGCCTGGCAACCTGTGTTAAATTTTTTTAAACTATAAATACCGTTTGTTCTGTCTACCTTTTCCTCTTAAGGACATGCCATAGAAGTTGCAGCCATCATTTCCACTTACAGCCCATCAGTCAGAATGTAGTCATATGGCCACACTTTCAAGGGAGACTAGGAGATACAGTCCTTAGTTATGTGGCAGTTTCCAAAGCTAAAACTGGGGGAAGAAGAGAAGAAAGGACATTGAGAGACAATAGTAGTTTTTGCTACAACAGACTTTGGTGAGCTAGGTAAAAAAGGAAGAGGGACTTTTTTCCCCCAAAATTATCTATTCCTGCAAAGGCACACTGTAAAAAAGCATGAACAAAGGTGGCATGATTCACTGGGAGCAAATATTGTAACAGTCTGTCATATGATATACTTATATGTATATGTAAAGTTTTATATTTGCCCACATATTCAAAGAAATATAAGTTAAATTGGTGGGGTGCCTGGGTGGCTCAGTTGGTTGAGCGTCTGACTCTTGGTCTCAGCTCACATCATGATCTCATGGGTCATGGGACTGAGCCCTGTCGTTGGGCTCTGCATTCAGTGGGGAGTCTGCTTGAGATTCTCTCTCCCTTTTCCTCTGCCCCTCCCCCCTCAGTAAGTATTTTTTAAAATAAGTAAAATTGGTTAAACAAGTTCATGATGGGCAGATACAAAAATGACCATATCACTCTCACTCTCCTACTTTGCCTCACAGATTAAAGGCCAAACTCTTTAGCCCATACTATTTCTACTATGTTATACTTCCTCCCAGAAGATGTAAAAACCATGTAGAAAGATAAATTGCTTCTACCTGGAGTGGTTGGGCTTCATGTAAAATACGGAATTGGAACTGGACCTTGAAGGAAGAAGTATTTGAATTAATGGAGAGGGGCAACGGAGCATAAACAAATAGTTCCAATCTTTTTAGGCCTACCCTTTTAAAAAATTGAAATATAGCATACTACAGAAATAAATGAACTACCTATCAGAAATAAACATACCACTGTATCTACCACCCAGAAAATAGAGTATTACTGGTTACATAGAAACCCTCTTAGGCAACCTCTCAATAACTATTCTGCCCCTCCTCCCCAATATAATCACTCTCCCAGCTTCTAACCATAGACCAGTTTTGCCTGGTTTTCAATCTTACATAAATGAGATTAAGTGTCTATTTTATATATATGTGAGATTCATCTGTATTGTTTGTAGAAGTAGTTCATATTCATTTCTATATTCCATTATATGAATGAACCAAATATATCCATTCTATTGTTGATGTTTGGGTTGTTTCTACATTGGGGCTATTAACCAATAGTGATGCCATTAACATTCTGTGTCTCTTGGTATGCATGGGAAGACATTTCTTTTGAGAGAATACTTATTAAAATTCCTTGGTCATAAGGTGTGTGCACATTTTATAAAGAATGCCAGTTTTCTAAAGTTTATGTTTTTTATGTCCCCACCAACAGTATATGAAAGTTTCATGTTCTCCACACCCTGGGCAACACTTGGTATCACCATTCTTTTTAACTTTAGCCATTCTGATCAGTGTGTAGTGGCATTTCATTTGGGCATAATTTGCATGTTCCTGATGGTTACTAAGGTTGAGCACCATTTTATGTTATTTGCCCTTTGGAGAGTCTTCTTTTTTGAAGTCCTTGTTCAAGTCACTTGCCCATATATCTGTTGGGTTGTTGGTCATTTTCTTACTGATTTTTAGGACTTCTTTATATATTCTGGATGTGAATTCTTGACCAAATACCCTTTCCTATAGCATGGCTTGTCATTTCATTTTCTCCATGGCATCTTTTGAAAAAACAAAGTTCTTGATTTTAATGTAACATGTTTCACTAATCTTTTTCATTCTTTTTTTTTTAGTATATGTGCTGCCGAAGCGAGCACACCAATCTTTTTCATTCTTAAATTATTTTGAGTGTGCTGTTTCTTTTTGTAACCCTGGTAGAGTAATTGGTACCAGAGTAGTTACAGGAAATGGACCCACTGAGATTGAATTAAATACACACACACACACACACACACACACACACACACACACAAAAATCAATCACAGGGATAACCTCATTGCTATAGACAAAGGGACCACAGGACACCCATGATTTACAGTACTATTATAATTGCCATTATAATAGCATGGGATAGAATGAAGGTGAAAAGAAAGTATCGCTGTGATAACCATAGGAATTTAAAATTGTGGATCCATAATTTAAAATTATGATCCTAAACAGGATGTACACAGAAGAAGGTAAAAACTATGAAAATACAATTAAGAATGTATGGAGAGAGTCAGAACCCCCCCTCCACTGCAGCTTTGAAGGAGTCCTTTATCTCCTATAATCAGTGGGCAGATAAGGTAGATTTGTAGTACCAATTATATGCTCAATTCTTCCAGTTTTCTTACTCTAAGGATGGAGCATTGGTGAGGAAGATGTGGGGCCCAGACATAGAATGTGGACTTTTGGGCAGACAAGAATGAAGCTGAGAACTCTGACCCTGCATATCCTCTGAACTTCCTTTGCTCTCTGAGGAAACTAGCCTCCCCTGCATAGAGGCTTTCAGTGATTGCACTTGGGACAGCTCTCTCCTAAGCTGATACCTGTTCTCAGAACTTACCTTCACCACCTCACAGTATCCCCAGTTAAATCTCAAAAGACATACTAGTCAGAGAAGTATGTGGCCTGCTCTGGCAAGAGATAAGCTACACAGAAGTTAAAGACCTTGCCGTTTTGATCAGCAGGAGCCTGAGGAGTATATATATAGAAGTGGGTTCTAAGGATATTACACCAAGGGGGAATAAATATAAGGCTTTACTTGTCATGGCAAATTTATTGGCACAGGTGTACTCACCTGAGAGTCAACATGTAATATATTGGCATTAATAGTTTGCTAGGATGAGGCATGGGCTCAGTAACAGGTTACAAATAATAAATGGCTTACAAATGAAATTTGAAGTAATAATTTCAAAATGCCAGAAATACCCTGGCATACTGTAGAGGAGGGAATACAAAGACTCTGTAGATATTCTCACTTTTCACCAAGTCATTAAGAAATGCTTTGGTGATAAGAGCATCAGCATTCCCAAAGAGCTCTGAGGTGTCTGTTCTCTGTCAGAATGATGGTGATGAATGCTGTGGTAGAATTGTTTCCTGATCTCAAAGAGAATAATACAGTCCCAAAGTGGCAAAGGCTACATGATGGCATATAGCCACCCGAGACATGGTGGGCACAATTACCATAATAAGTGAAAGAAGAGAAGTTAATCAGATTGTTTTGACCTACAGGGAAAGGGGGATAATGACCAAATGATAACGAAGTCCCTAGAAATGAAATGGGTTAAGTAGCCCAGTAAGGTGCTGCTTGACATATATAGGTGGGAAAATTCTAAACTAACTTGTGTTGTCATAGTGAAATTTTAAGCCTCCCATTCCAGTTCACAGACCTGGAACTCCTTGATGATGGAGAGAGACTGGGTCCCTTTGAAAAAGAACCCAGCAATGCAGCCATGGTTATATAACCATGAACCTTCCCCTAATCCAGTGGTTCCCAAACCTGTCTGTACTTTAGAACACCTGAGAATTCTAAAGAACACACTTCAGACCAATTAAATCATAATTTCAGGGAGTGAGATCCAGGCATTGATATTTTTTAAAGGTCCCCTGGTAAATCCTGTGAGAAGTTAGGGGATCACTGCCCTAATCCTTCTCTAGTGGCCATTTACTGAGGAAAGGAAAATATCAGACCTCCTGAGGCTTATTAGATACTGCCTCTTAATATCTACTGATACCTAGAGACCCAAAACCCCATCCTGGATAACTGGTTAAAATAAGAGGCCTGCGAAAGTCAAGTGATGGATGTAGTCTTGGCCTGAGTCTGGGTGACAGTGAGTCCAGAGAGACCCATATTGTTATTTCTCCAGTCCTAGATGTGTAGTAAGAATAGATATATTTTAATAACTGAAGCAATCTTCATTTTGGTTTCCTGACCAATGGAGTGAGTGCTGTAATGGTAGGAAGGGCCATGTAGAAGTTCATAACTGCTTGCTACCACTCTTACACTGTGACCATATACAAAAAGTACCACATCCTGGGGAACTCATAGAAATTAGTGCCACCCTGCTGGAATAGTGATTCATACCACATTCCCACTTAAATTCCCTTTGTGGTCACCAGATGAGTCACAGAGAATACAGTGTAAAAACCAGATGGGTAGTAAAGAATGACTGGATTACTGCAAGAGTTTGATCAGGCAGAGATGCCAATTGTAGTTGCTGTTCTAGGTGTGGGGTCTTCATTGGAGGAAATTAATATAGACTTTGAAAAGATATATAGGTTTTGGTCTGGAAGTGCCCCGTACACCCCATTCCAATTAGTAAGGGAAGTCAGAAATAGATGGCATTTAACTGGCAGGGATAACAGTGAGCCCTTACTGTCTTGTCGCAGGGCTGTGTCAACTTTCTGTTCTCTGGTGTGAAGGGACTTTGATCATCTTGCTATGTCATAGAATATCGCGCTGGTCTTACAGAAATGAATGTTAAATGAACCCAATGAGCAGGAAGTGGTAAGCACTCTACATGTTTTGTTAACACATATGCATGCCAGAAGGTGCAAGAAAAATCCTGTAAAACTTCCAGGACCTGCCACAAGTTTTTAGGGGTCCGATGGCCTGAGACATGTTAGGTTATCCATTCAAGTGAGTGACTGTTTGTTCTGTTTTTCACCACCACAATAAAGAAAAAGGCAAAATTTGTGACAGGTCTTTTTGAGTTCTGGAGACAACAAAATAGAACATTTGGGTGGCCCCTTCTAACCTATTTTCTGGGTAACTAGTTTTCAGTGGAACCCAGAGCAAACTGTCTTGCTAGTTGGGCCTTATGAGTGGGCAGATCCAATGGTATTGGAAGTTCATGTGGTAGAGATGTTATATGAAGCTTCTGATGAGTGCCAATAGGAGAATTACAACACCGATTCCTTGGTTTTTGAGTAAAGATCTATCTTCCTCGACCAATGTTTTGTTTTGTTTTGTTTTGTTGAAAAGTAGCTCCTGACTTGCTCCTGGTACCTGGTAGAGATGGAACACCTGACCATGGGACATCAAGTGACTGCGTGAATAATCAACTACCCATCATGAACTGGTGTTACCTGATTCACCAAACCATACAACTGGATGGACGCAACAGCAGTCCACTCCCTACAACACTGGGAACACCGTCACAACTAAACTGAATGAGCAGGTGACTCATTCAAGTAATACCTGCCCATATTCCTTCAGCACTTCTCTCCCAGTCCATATAAACTGGCTTCAAAAGAGTTCCTCTGAGCAATTAATGAAGAGAAAAATGTGTCGGTCTTATTTTGTTTGTTTGTTTTTAAGATTCTTATTTATGTATTCATGAGAGACAGAGGCAGAGGGAGAAGCAGGCTCCCCGTGGAGCAGGGAGCCGGATGTGGGGCTCAATCCCAGGACTCTGGGATTATGACGTGAGCCGGAGGCAGCCGCTTAACCGACTGTGCCAGCCAGGCGCCCCTTGGTCTTGTTGATTCACAAAAGGATCTGCAGTGAGCTGGCAGTACTGGGGTGTGAGTGGTCACTATACAACACCATCACTCATTAGTGGCCCTGAAACACAACAGTAAAGGGAAATCCTTTCATTGAGAAGAACTTTATAAAACAATGGCCTGAGGTAAGGGTAGACACTGATCTCGGGGTCCTGGGATCGAGCCCCGCATCAGGCTCCCTGCTGGGTGGGAAGCCTGCTTCTCCCTCTCCCACTCCCCTGCTTGTGTTCCCTCTCTTACTCTGTGTCAAAAAAAAAAAAACTTAAAAAAAAAAGAATGT